TAAAGACAAATTTCGCCTACTTCATAATTTTCAGAAGGGCTGGTTCTTTGTTTAATACTCTAGTGCATGCCAAGATTAAACATAAGCTCTAGAGAAATCTTAAAGCCCTTGACATCATAGAAAAATTAAATTATATTAATGCCTTAAAGGTTTCTAGAGACTCGTTGTTCTTCAAAACTGAGTTGCTGGGACAGAAAAACTTGGGAAAGTCATTTGATTCTCTTGATTGAATTGACCCATTTCTCATGGAGCAATGATAAGTCCATGCGCTTCCGCTGACACTGGTGGAGTGATGAGTTGATGTTTCTGAAGTTCACAGAGGTAGAGGAAGAGCATTTTGGAAGTGCAAAAGTCCTACTATTGCAACTGTACGGTGATACGCACATTTTACATGTGTCCACAGCTCTCGTGACTGTCATGCTTCCTGTTAAGGACATAATAACTTTAATGGAATAAACTTAAGTGCAATTTTAAAAGATTTTTTAGAAGTTTACAAATGTTATACTTGCTAAGTGTGCTAGTGAAATAGTAGAAATCTAAATTAGTTTCAATGTTAGTATTTTAACGGGAAGAACTCCTGTATGTTAGATAGTCTATATTTCTTAAATAATATTGGAATTCAAGATCAGATTTGACATTTAGTGTTTATCTTAAAGTGCTATTCAGACAAAGTCTGGAGTTATCACATAAAAACGGGGAACATTCACTTTCTAACTTCTGCACTTCCCCAAACTGGTAATGAAATCAGACTTTTGAATAATCAATGCCAATTATTTGCTAAGTGATTTAATCATAATATTAATCTCTCTAAAAGTATAATTCCTATTCATGAGTGACATATAAAATTCCAGTTCTATATACTCACACCTGATTTTGTTTGCTTATTTTCTGTGGTAATATTGATTCTGGACATCTTTTCAAATTTCTTAGGAGAGATATCTTTTCCTTTGATTTAGCTTTTTAAAAGAGAAGCTAGATTTCTTTAGTGTTTATCAGATTGTAAATTTTTCATAAATTAATGATGTCTTTAACTAGGCTACTTGTTGGTAAGAAAAAAGGCATACTTATGGGCATAAAAACTTCAACATCCCAGGGGTATATGTATAAAATCAATGATCATTAAAGGGATTTTTACCAATAACCTTCTATCTTGGAGACTTGTGTGAAAGCAATCTGAGGTAACAACGAATGTATTGTTTTTCTTTTTTGAAGGGCTAATATGTTATATTCTTGTCTGCTTTTTATTTACCTGTAGAACTGCTTTAGGAGGCCGTTTCCAGAAGTGTGTTAGCTGCCATTTGGCAAGCAGCAATTTTTTTCTGTATGATCTGTTAATATTTTTAACTTAAACATTATCTCACTTAGGTATTATTTATTATTGATTGTTACCTTAGTGCCCCCAAATACATTTGACTTTAGAAACCAAACAATCTCTGCTTTCGTGACATTTCTTATGTCAGTACACTCCTTTTACTCCTGACATCATTGTTTGTTTGCTATTTCAAATATTACCACATTAAATTATTGTTTTTCTGTTTTTAACTAATCTAAACCATGGGGTAATTTATCTTCTGAAATCTGTCTGATTTTAATCTCCTTGAGGGTAAGGACCATGACTGTTTGTCTTTGTATCCTAGTGCTTGATACACGGTGGACATTCAACAGAAGCTTATTAATGAATGAATAAATATGGTATTAGTTTTGATGGGGAGGTTAATGCAAAGAATATTAAGGCTTAGTATTTAACATACACTGTTTACTGTGTGACAGGACCAATTCTAAGTACTTGGAGCAGATGCTTTTGGTGTTCTGTCTGTATTTCTATGTACTCCTTACCATTTCGGTGAATGACAGCTTGTCTTCCAACAGCCTGCAATGGAAGTTTTGTCAGAGGGCTGCCCTCAGCGTGACGGAATCCATTTTGCTTGTGTGTAACTTGGGCAGGATGTGCCTGGGAATTAATGTTCGCCCGGAGGCAGCCTGAAACCAGTGACTGATAGATTGTGCGGGGTATAGCTATCCCAGATCCTTTGCTCCCTTCCTGGGATAAATCTGAGATATGTATTTTATATAATTTTCAGTGCCATAAAACTAAGAATTATTAATAAAAGAAGAAAATGTTATGGTCTAATCCAGTAATAAGCACATTTGCAGGTAAGAAGATAAACAAATAATCAAACATTTATAATGCAGTGTAACAATTATTTACATATTATATGTTTTAAAGCTATGGCAAAGAGCATTTTCCCAGTTTTTGTGTTGTCAAATTAAAAAAAATACTTCTTTTCTTAGAGAGGTTTTAATATTTATGTGATCAAATATGTTAGACTTTGTTGATATTTTCTCCACTCTACAGATTACAAAATAATCACTCATGTTTTTCTGAATGATGTTTTAAAATTTTTATATTTAAATCTCTAAGATTTTGAAATTGAATTTTTGGTATAGTAGAAATATGGGTCTCTCTCTACTTCTTTTTTCCTCTTTCTCTCAACAAATTGTTAGTTACTTGCCCTTAAAGTATTTATGGAAGAATATATCTATTTCCTACTGATGTGAAATACAATCTTCAATATATACTAAGTTTCTAAAAATGCACAAGGTTTGGGTTTTCTGTCTACTATATACCAGCAGTAAACCATCTTAATTAGTGTGGTTTTATAATATGTTCAATATCTCCTTGTTAAGTTCTTCCTCACTATTTTTTATTTTCAAAATATTTAGCTATGTTTTTCATTTATTCTTCCCAGTAAATAATAAATAATAGTAAATAATAATAAAAATTCTTTTTACCCAACAGAGTGTAACTAGAATTTTGATGGATATTATATTGGATTTATAAATTTATTTGGGATTAAAATATATTGACATTAACACTTATACTAGATGTATGTGTAAAGTCCCATCTGTTCACACACACACAAGTCCATTTAATTCTTGTCTTTCAGGGAAAGCTTATAGACAGGAGGTCAGATATAGTCTAGACTTTGAAAAAAGGAGTCTTGCAGCAGGACATTCTAAGCAGAAGGAAGGGAGGATGTTTATGATAAAGCTTGAGATCCAGACCCAGATTTGGTTGTGAGGACTTTTATAAGCTATTCTAGAGAATTTGGACTTGAAGTTTAGGCAGTAGGAAGTTTCCTATGGTTATAAATAAGGAGAATAAAGTGATCAAATCTGATTTAGAAAGATAACCGTCTAATCACATGGTTGGTTCCTCTGCAACCAGTCCCCATCCTGAAGCTATCTAGGGGCTCATCAAGTCACTTCATTAACATAAACTCATATATGATTGAAAGGGGCTTACTATGAATGACAAAAGAGGCTCCTTTCACTCCTATAAGGGACCAGGAACCAGGAACTAGGGATGAAGACCAAATGTTTATTCATTATATCACAAAATCACACAAGTAGTATAATATCCCTAAATGTCTTGATGTATAAACTATTTTTAAAATTAAAACTATATTTCAGTACAAATAATGTACATGTTTATTATATAAAATACAGAAGCTATAGGTACACAAAAACTTTTACAATCATAACTACTCCATTGGACCACCATTAGCAGATAAACACTGATAACACATAGGTGCTTGTTCCTTCAGATGCATGTATCCATATGTGCATTTCCAATTTTTCAAAACCAAAATGTATGCTCATATAGTAATACAGCTTCAAAACTTACCTTCTGAATCCCATAAATGTATTTAAACTCTAATGTTAGTTAAAGTAGTTTCTAACGTAGGTTTCTAATATAAATGAAAATCCCCAATGTTTCTCTTTGTTAACAATGTTTCATATTAATCTTGTTTCTTTATTTCTAATATTAATCTAAGTCAATAAATTTTACTCTAAATTAAATATTTACTCCTTTCCATCACCTTAGGAAATTTAAATGTATGATAACATCATCAGAAAATGTAAGGTGACTCAAAAATTTGCCATTGATAATGAGAGAACTTTTTTTTACTTAATAGTTTTGCAGTTCTTCAAGAAAGACATAAAGTGCTGAGATATTTTCACATAGCCTCCACTCCTCGACAAATGTAAATGTCAATTTAATTGTGTGAGTTTTTAAAACACAGAGGCAAGGGAAATTTGAATGTAACCTTTGCATGAAACTTCAGTAATTAACACAAATTCTTTGCTTCATATATTTTTTTCAAAATATAGATAAAATAAGCATGTGGTGTAACTGTTATAGAATGAATGCAAATTTTCACAGCACAAATTATAGTATGGGAACAAGATGGTATCTTTAGATTTTTAACTTCATGCAGACAACTAATACATAAAATGAGACCTCTTTAGAAGTTTCATTTGTAAAGGCAGTGAGTGAGTAACCAGTGTTCATATCCCTTAAAAATACAGATCACACTGGGATATGAAAAATAATAATAATAAAAATTAGAAATCTTACAAACTAAATTGTATCTCTCCCATCTACATGGGAAGATAAAATATCCTTGGACAAGATGAAAATTATCCTGGGGTCACTTTAAGAGCAAAATCATATGTAAGGAAAATGTGATTTTAAGAAATATGGGAAATCTGATGGCTGTAAGCAAAAACTTGAAGTCTGTTAATAATCTAAACAAAACTGCAATCTTAAAAACAGAAAACTGGTGCAGGCCAGTTTGATGAAGAAATGTTAAATGTGAGACATAACATGTTGCAATAAATGTGGGATCTTAGTCCATTTTGACAACAACCATATACCGCTTGTGTATATTATGGGAAGAAATGTTGATTATGGGGCAATAATGGGATCAACGAGAGCTTTTACTGTGGCCACCTTACTGTGGAGGAGTTTTGCTGAAGTGCTGTTTCTCAAACTGGTAGCATATTTCAGACAAAGAAAGGAAGTCCCCGTACTTGAAACTGCTGTGTCATTTCTTCTTCCTTAACTGAAATTCCAACCAGGGTTCAGGAAATGCTCTAATGAGCCACTTCTCTTTTCTCTTTCCTCAACTAAGTGGATTCCAACCAGCATAAACTATTCATTATTCATGACCAGATCGTTGACTTTGGTCGCCTCTTTTGGCGTTGTGCTTATGTTATGGGCAGAGGGATTATAATTTGGTGCTGTTTGTAGAAGTGATAATACTGATAGAATTCAATCATTGCTGGTAGGTACCTAAACTGACAGGTTAATTTTCTGTACTTTAAACAAACTATGAAGATAAGTCTAATCAATACCTATTTTACTTTGATATGTGCAGCTTGCTTATAATTATGGTTTCATCTTGCATGATCACTAGGTATCATGATATGAGAGCAGTCAAGCTGTGATTTGCTGTAATTTGGGTAAAATATATCTGAAACTCTATTAGTGTCTTATTTTAATCAAGATGTAGAAATCACCGTTTTAGTTCACGATAACCAAAGCAATTTCTTTCTTGCAGTTTAATATTCTTGGATATTTACTAAATTGGAACGTGATTTAATATTTTATTGCATCTTATATATTATTTTATGAGTAAATGTTAATTGCCGTTTACATTTTAGCAATATATATTTTATTGGCTTTTAAAGGTAAGAAAATATGAATACCGTTCATAGCAGAAATAACACTAGATAGTACTTTAGCGTATGTTATTTTTCCAGGGTTAAAAATTATTCTGTTTTTTCATAAAGATTTGGATCTGAAAAGTTTGTGTAGGAGATGTCAAGTATCCCAAAGCAATAACTTTTTATGGTAATAGTTTTCAATTGTAATAATTAGTGGAGTCATAGTAGGGACTTGAGGACTATATATCTGTATATATACACATATATTTTCTATATATTTATCTATAGGAATTATAATCACATACTTTCAATATTGTCTTAAACTATTTCATTGGGAATAGACATTTTGAGAAAAAATAAACCTGAGGTAATCTTTAATTCATTTTGGGTAGCTTATTAGTAACTTATTTACTAGAAACTTCATTTAATGTTGAGACTTTAAAATAATCTTCACAATTCTTCCCTGTTAGAAACTGTGTCAACAAAGCAAAGTGAAACAGAATGTGGAGTTCGTTATCAAGATTCTTCAGACAATTCTGCTTCACTTCTATTTTAGATGAATCTGAGCATAGCTTTACACTTTCAAGTAGCTTTTGAATTAATACTACGTCTTTTACATTTTTGGTGGAAGCTACCTTAAATAGGCCAAACTTTGTGATGTCCATTTTGACAATAAAAAATATTTTTTAGCTATAAAACAAATGGAATATATATAATTTTCATGTTGTCTATTTCTTTGGTTTTTAGTCTTACTGTTTTTTAAGTTTTCATTTCATTACAAAGCAGTAGAATAGTTCAATACATGACTATATTTTGTTGAACTGAAACTTGGAGCTGATGTCAAAACTGAAACAAGCTGAGAAACGTTTCTTAAAAGTCAGCTTAATTTTAACAACTGTGGCACAAGGGTTTGTTATAAGTTCTGGATAGCCGAAGTAATTATGAAGCATTCATATGGTGTAAATTTTTGGCGTAAGTGAAATTTTCAGAAATTGTGGTAATTAACACAGTGGAAGTGGAAAATAATTTTGAAAACAATGGTTTGAATAGTCAGAAAGGAGAAATAAAGAAAGGAGAAATTGAAAGAAATGAAATAGTCTTACACAATGTTTTCAAATAAACTAATGAAATACGATTAAAAGGGAATAATGATGGACATTGATAAAATAATAAACATACATGTGGAAATGCATTCATTTTTTTATAAATCAATGTACAAATAAAATGATCTGAAATCAGCTAGACATGCCACATTCTTCATGGAGATAACTATAACTCTTATACTAAAAAATATTGGATTAATCACTGGAGTGATAGAAGATCCAGAAAGGTGATTTTACAAATACCAGGTCGCAAATTTTATACTATTTGGCAAAATAAAACAAATGTATAGTGCCAAATGTAGTTCCTACTCTGGTTTTACAGATTATGTTGACTAAGATCAGGAAGAAGGGTCTGTGAGGATAGTGCAGAGGACATACAAGGAAAGCGGTAAAAATCACATATCTTCAAAAATATAACCTATGAAGGGAGAGCTTAACAGTCTTGTAGGAAAAATGAGTGGCAAAAACTAATGTAATAAAATATTTCTTATTTTATAGAGTTGTGAATTACCAACTAGTTAAGGAATCTGCAGGTTGGGGTGCAGATGTTTGGAGATATACCAAAATTTGGCGGACAGTACTTTGCCTATAAGAGCTTGGTTGATAGATAATTTTGTGATTCCGTTAAATTGTATTTATTGGAGCATGGAAAGTCTTGGCTACTTACTCATCAACAAAACGGAAGAATGATATGAGAATGTATCACAGGTAGTTTATGTTAAACGTTAGGAAAATTAGGGGAATCTGTATTATTGAAAAGTGAAATAGTAAGGAAGGTTGTAGAATTTCCTCAGGAGAGTAGTTTTAAGAGTAGATGGGTCAAGGAGAGAAAGCCCTTGTTCCTGATTTTGTAATTGCTCTCAAGATATGGTGGAAGGTTGAGCCTAAAGATCTTAAAGACTCATTAGGTTGCTGTTTTTCTTTTTATCTCTTCAGGTTTGAAAGAATAGGTGAGAATTTGAAAATAGAACCAAAAAAGACAATTGAAGGAAATGAGTCTAGGAAATAGGATTGAGTTTTAATAAGGATTCCCATGCCCCCTTATGTTGATTCCTAAGAGTTACCATGGAAGAGTATTTTCAAATCTTCTCTTGACTTCCCTGAAATACTCCCTCCCAGCATGTGTAGTGGAACAGACTGTGACTCACTTTCTAGCTTCTCCCACTCGGCCATAGAATCCTTCTATCCTTCCCTTTGTTTTTTTTTCCTTTATTTCTTATTTTGTGAATGTTTCCAGTACAGAAGTTCATATGCACATGAACAAACTAAGTTCTGAAAGATATTCAGCTTCCTTAGACATATTTCCATCCAAATAAGAATTTGAGCCAGGACTTTCTATCTGTTCAGTCAGATATTTCACTGTATCCTTTTTCCCTCCGTTTGCCCAAATTTATTCTATCAAGCATCTTTCCCCATTCCCCGAAAGTCTAGACCAGTATCTACCACAATGAAAGTTTGTCTTTAGACAGGTAATAACCTCCCCTAGTGTCTGTAGGGAATTTCTCAGCAGCTAAGATGTTCACACTCTCTGCTTCTTTTGATCCTGTGCAAATTCAAATGGATTTGAATCTACTGAACCATCTGAGGTCTGCAACAGAAATTTTGTCAGCAGCATCAGACTTTTTGGTTTTTACCATCAGACTTCAAGTTCTGGTAAACTTTTAGTCTTCTCCTTGATCAGTTTTAGGCTAAGAGGCATCTGATGCTTTAGTCATACTCTCAAATGTTTCTTTCTCTCCATGTAGTCAATCACTTTTCCTCTTCTATAGCTTATGATTGTCCTTCACAAATGCAAGGCACTTTTCACATGATGGATGATTTGCTCTTTCCATCAGAATTACACCTACCATTAAAGATTTTACCTGTAAGCATATTCAACCTTCTTTACTTTCTCTCTGCTGTCAAATTGTAAAATAGCTATTGTTTTTATTGCAAACAATCATTTTTTCTTATTAGCCTTTTGAACACTTATTGTGGACATGTGGGGATATAGTGTTTGGGAAACTCTGAGCATATCCATCCTTAGAGTAGGAACAAACCAAGGGATGAGTCTGCTCAGTGAGATGACCGGTGACATTATTCTCTGGAGAAGGTAGAGAATGTGTGATTTTGCCTTGATCAGTAACTTAGTAATAGCCATGTAAGTTTGGTTAAGCTGAAGGTGTATAAGTGGAAGAATGTACCACGTGCTATACTAGGTTTCAAGAATGCTACGATGCATAAGATATGGTACCTGCCAATGAGCAGTTAAGGCATTCAACAATTAATTGCACTGACAAGTGTTATAAAAAAAAGTATATATGAATTCTCTATGAGTCTGGGGCTTTGGGAAGGGTTCAAAGAGATGATGGTTGAAGTATATTTTGAAAAATAATTAGCTATTCTCTAGGCAGGCAAAGGGTAGGAGAAAGGCATCGGACTAAAAGACTAGCTTGTGCAGAGTTGTGAAAAGCATGGCACGTTCAGGGGTCTTTGATTAGAGCTTGGGATCATTGTGGGGAATAAGGTAAAGTAGGGCTGGAGAGTTAAGGCAGGGGCAGACCATAAGAGCTATGCTTTTAAGGGTTGTAGGATTTTAACAAAAGGAGTAGCTTGATCTGATTGTGTTTTAGCAGGCTATCTCTTGGCCATTTGGAACATAGATTGGAGGGGTGAAAGACTCGCGTCATCAGTTTTAGATTTTGTGTATAGTGTGCGTCTGTATCTGCTTTAAGACAGCAAGGACGAGTATGTGTCTCTGAGTAATACTTTGCAAAGTGGTTGCACCTCTGGCAAGAACAGAAGGCAAGTGCTTTGCTAAAAATATGATAGAACCTACTTCATAAGAAAATCAAAGTTAGTGGACTGCATCATTTTCCACTGTAGAAATAACCACTTAAACTGAGCATGGATTAGCTCCCAAACCAGTGGGCAAAGCAAATATTTGCAAGTGATTCAGTGATTTCCTTGTGGTTGCTTAGTTTAGTGCTGATAGATCAACACCGTGAAATAGGAAGTCAGAAGTTCAGCATTTTTAGCTTGCTACTGACTTGCCATGTGACTTTGAATAAGTCTGTGTGTGTGTGTGTGTGTATGTGTGTGTGTGTGTGTGTTTGCTGAATATTTTAAGTTGAATTAATATCTAGTGTGGAGTGTGAAGGATGAGGGGTCTGGTGGTGTTCAAATTTAGGTTTCCTGTGCCTGAAGAGTAGTTCCGAATTTACTCCTGGGATATCAAACTTAGATGGGATATAGGAGCTCTAAGATTGGAAATCCAGGTCACAGCCCAAAGCGAGGACCTCTCTGCTTCTCCTTATGGGATCCTTGATCTCACATGTCTGACAGATTTTCAGAGCATGAAAAATAACCATGGGCAGCTAGCTCATATGTCCTCTTCTATGAAAATAGCCTTAGATGACTCTGCATCAGGACAGAGCTCTCAGAGCAAAATGCAGTAGAGAATGAAGTAACTCTGCACAATTTGAAGTAAACTTTAGTTTGCCTTTTCCTTACAGATCACCTCTACTTTTCCATAT